TATTAAATATATAGGAATGATGCACTCAATTGGCCTTTGAACTGATAAGGGGGGGGGGGGAGGGAGGAGTTTGGACAAACGGATTTAAATTCCTTTTTCTTTTCTTTCTTCTTGGTAGAGACACTTTCATTTACCCATTTTCTCACAAATGCAGTCCGTGTCACTCAATTCGGCTTCCTTACATCCGTCGTGATTTCATTTGTGAGGATTGTGTCTCCTTTGATTTCATCCACAAGAAAGACAATTGACTGAAGTCAAGGGATCATTACGGGGGGATTCTGACCGTTTTTCACACCCAGTCATTGGTCGTTACAACATCCGGCTTTAGGATGGCCTCTCGAATGCACCATCCGTTACGCGGAAGAAAAGGGAGAACCATCGACAAATGTATGCATTCGTGACTGCCCACAGCCCGAGGATTCTCCTGTAGGTTCTCTCGTTCGCTCTCATTTAAGCTGAAAATAAATACACACTAGCGGCAAAATACCTCGTCGTCGGACTCGCTTAATCTCCTCCAATCCTTGTTGGAGGATGTGAGGAATAAATACCTATGAAAAATCACAATTTGAATTCAAAGTGGTTTCAAAAAATGGAGTTAGACATTTGGAGACCTAATTTTGCTCAGAGCGGTATAATTTTTTACCCTTCCTCTTATAATTTCAAGTAGTTTTGCTACTTCCTGTATCTTTTTAGAAGTGTAGTTAGCTTACCTTATAAATAATGATATCGACGCAATATTTTAACATTTTTAAACATGGATGCTACCTTAACAATTTTACTCGATTTCAGATGCAAGTTTCTTTGGTCTTTGATTCTGTGGGTTTTAAATTTCGCATATTATGTCAATGGAAGAACACTTATGACTCGGCCATCTGTCTCGACGAGGCGTATTATGCTTGTGTATCCTTCAGTTAAACATCAACAAGGAGTTTAACCCCCTTTTTGACCGTGGGATTCATACTTCCCACAACACAGAATCATATTTATACGTTGAGAAACCCGCCCCCAACGATACCATTTCGTATCGATTGAATCGAAATGGAATTCGTCCCTAATCATGACCAATAGCATCGGTCACGATTAGTGACGAATAAAAGTATTTTAAAAATATGTTTATTGTGCTGGTGAGTGGTAGACGCACCAACAGAACTTTCTCAATGCTCACGGCATCAACGAAAAAATTTCGAAGCGCAAATAGAAGGGGAATCCTGCATTATCGCATGAGATCTCAAAGAGCTTAAAATATGCAATACGGAAAAAAACCCAAGCTTTATACAAAAACACCCTGTTTTTCATAGAAAATGAATGAAGTCCAAGATAGGCCAACTTTCCCAAACATAAATGACTCTCAATACGCAAGAGGTTTTTTCATTTTTGTTTCTTATATTCTCCACGTTCATCTTCCTGCTTCTGTTGTTCATCAATCTGTCTTATTCCTGCTTCTGTTGCACTTCTTTTCTTTTTCTTTGAAATAAGCATGGATGCACCAAGCGCAGTACCAGCCAAAGTTACCTCACCAACTTTCTTGGCCGTCTCAACCTGCTTGCTGGCCGACTTGCCATACCGGCACCAGGATGAGAAGTGCTCGCAGTTGTATGTAAGCAAATTGTATTCCTTCCCGTTCTTCTCGCGATAAATGGGGTCAATGACCATCCGCACTGCTCTCTCCACAATCTCTTCTTTAGGCGAAACTGTAAAGCTAGGGTCTTCATCCATAAAGTTATATTTGCAGGCTCCATTGCCTTCCATGAATTTCTTCAACACGCTTATATCGTAACACGTGCTGTCAAAACTAATTCCCTTACCAGACAGAGAACTTATTCCGGTCTCGTTTGAATATAATTCGGCAATTAATTGGGCATTACATCCACAGCCCCCTTTGACAACGTTTATCTTGCAATCTGGGCAGGGAATCTTCCAATCAGCGAGCAATGTCTCCACATGTTCTGGGAGATCTTTCCGGGGACCAAGATAAATCCCTGCATGGTACAACGCACCGCCAGGGCCGAATGGTGCCACCACAATGTCCCCTATTTCCAGAGTCTTCACGAACTTGTCATGTTCGTCACTTCCAAACTTACTGGATTCGATCTCCTTTCTCTCCGCCATTCCTGGTAATTACGGATCGTAAAGGAACAGATTTTGGGTCATTTCATGGTGCAATATAATTATATTGCCATGCCAGTGAGTCCAAATTAAGCACAAATGAGAAGCAAGTAATGCCTCCCTATGCTTTTGGTAATCATGCTTTCTTTATGCGTACGTCTATTCATACTTTAATCCCCGCAGAATTTTGACCTTTAAAATACGATTTCTAAGCGTGGACTATTCATTCCTGCCATACTTTATTTTCAAGAGACAAGAAGTCGTTGTACTCGATGTTTTCGTGCAAATCCTGCTGATCAGGGAAATACTAGAATAAATTTATATTTTTCTTTGGTATTTCTGGAAAAAAGCAGAAAATCAACGGACATACCACTAATTAATGGCACGTGGAATTTATCATTTTGGTTAACTTAAATAAGAAGTTACATGCGTCGTCGCATAATTTCTTTCTTCTTTACTTAGTCATTTAATTGGGGAACAAGTTAGCCGGGAAAAATAGGTTAAGAAATAGGATGTCCAAAATTATAATTTTCAAACATACAGTATATCTATATATTAAAGAGAAATTTTTTTGAGCGGTGTTTTTTATGTACATGATAAATGTGCTTAGCAAAAAATTAATTGCTGTGGAAAGTATTTATGGAACTGACAGTGAGGTTAGACTGTCACCTGCAAGATGTATTGGCCATAGTAAGTTCTACACTGACTGAAAATAAATATGGAAGTTTTGAATTTTGGAAAAAGTAATAATGATAAAAGTGAAATCAAAACATTTTGGAGATGATAAACATGTATTATGCATTTTTAAAGTTACTTTAAAGACAGAATATTAGTGGAACATCTCAGAGTGTGATATAACACATTTAATTATTATTGCAGAAGGCAGATAATAACTCCCATGTGCTGATAGAGAGCCAAACACATGGGGCTATTAAAGGAAACAACTTGAGTCAATATATATGGAGCATTCTAATTAAATATTAGGTACTGTTGTTATTTGCGAAGGGTAGGAGGATACGGTCATGAATCTTGCTTGCAAGATGTATTCTCTCTGGAGGAAAATCAGAGACCCTCTCAACGGTTTAAAAAAAGAATCTTCCTGAAAACCCCTTAGAAAATGGGTCATTTTGTAATGGGATGCAGAGACACTGTGAATATACCTATATTGCATCATTGTATAACTTGAATTGGCTAAATACTATTTATTAAATTTCCACTGTCACATGACTGAATGAAAGATAAATTTTGGCTGCTAATGAGGCATAATAATATAGTTGAATCTGTCCCAAGAGAAAACCATGAAGCTTCCCAATTACTTGTATGGAGACAAAAATATTAACCGGAGCTCAAAAGATGCTTCATTCTGCATCAAAATCATTCGCAGATTTTATACCGTTTACTTTTCAATGCATTTCATATCATCCATCTTCTCAAACTGTGAAATACCTTCATTCATCCCCCGTGGTTAATTGGGTTGAATGTAGAAATTCCAAAGAACTTGGGATAATTTTAAGGAGAAACACTCGTCATATCTTCTACTATTTATCCTGTATTTTCCTAAGCAAACTTTATGTAGTCAACATAAGAGAAACCTCTCACCTTTCATAAACAAATCATGGATTTACTATATGATTCATGACTGATTTCTACACCATTAGAAAAAAATGCAACTTAAGTATGTACATTCTATTCACACACGAATCTAAGGACAATTTGCAAAATTTGCTGTGGACAATCTTCTTGAAGGATGAATCAGGCAGTATTCCATTTTATCCCTACTCTATTTGAATAGATATTCTGAGCTCGTGATGTGAAATATCACATGTGGTTGCAATATAAACGTAACGAGAATACCATAAGTCTTTTCTACAAGTGGTGCAACTTTTAATGAGAGAAGGTTCTTCTTTATAATTCCAAAGAAACAAACGCTATGCTTAAGGATTATTCGACTTTGACGAGAACAAAACATGTGGTAAGAAAAGTAAATGAGATGCTAACCGAAATTTTGTGAGAAGTCAAGTTGCAGTGATTGGTGAGCAGCTTTCCTAGATGAGTCTGATCAGTCTAGCTCCGTCCCAAAGAGGAAAATAGACCTGAGTGGAGAAAGTGATCTGGTCAAAGGAAATTGTCATAACTTAAACTCAAAGTAAACCTAATTCTATTGGGAAATTAGCTTCAGGTCAATAATTACCATATAACAACATGGGCCTAGCTATTTCCCCTTAGACTTTTGGCATATATTGACATTGGTATTAGAAAAATAAAATCCTCTATTGTAAGGTTCCACCAGCTTACTTACATACAAGGCCAGCCTGTTACCTGCAATATTTATATGAATAAATAATTTTGGGAGAAGTCACAATATAGAACTTCGGATACATTCAGTGATAATTTTTTTTTTAATTCATCATTAGGAAAGCTGAAGGAATAATAATGATACGAAACTAATTGCTTACCCACCAGCATTAAAAGTGACTTTTTCAAGCAGATGTTAGCCCTGCATTTTGGTTCCCCTTCACACAGAGGTGATAAACTTTGCTCAACTATTCATGGTATTTATATAATCTAGGGTGGCACAGTGTGAGAGTAGGCATTTGGTTTCAAATCACTTAGGTCCTTACCCTCACCCTTGAATAAATTATTTTCAATTCGAAATGAAATAATTACCCTTAATTTGCAAAATAGCGTAGCCAATTTTGGTATGGTATGCTCTTATTCCTAAGTTATAAATAATATTTTTTCTTAAAGAGATCCTTTAATATTTTAAAACCAAACTTTTCCTTTTAAAAAACACTATAGGTCAGTCTCTCTCTCATCCAGCTTTTCCTAATAGACTTCAAAATAGAGCTACATGTCAAGTTTCACTGGGCATAACTTCCATCGGCTCTGTCATCAGAGAAAAGCAACTTGGATTGCAGGAAATCCGTTGTTGACCTTCGCATTTTCTGAACCTGCCATATGCAATTGGGCCTATTGTGATAACGTCCATGGGATGATTATCCTTCCTATTCTCAACTCTAGCTTGGTAAACTTCAAGTCATATCTCTTCTCCCTCCCTGGGGAATTGGTATTCATTGGAATAGCAGCTTCGAATCCCCAAACTCTTCGAACGGAAATATTTCCTTAAAAAGCTGCTAAGTCATTATTTATCTGTTTAAGATCACAAAAGGGCTTACTCCTCATTATCCTTTCATTACGGTATCCTTCTAAGCATCCCTTTTTGACCCTATAGATGGGTTGGAAGCCTTTTCTATCTAGGGCTAATCATATTCTTCCATAAATAACGATGTATTTTGCATCGCGTACGTTTAACCCATTACCAAAATAAATAGGTCAATGTTTGATTATGTCAAGGATATAGTGAAAAATTATTTCTCTGGTCTTAACGTTAGGCCTTGTTGCCAATTCCAATATTTATTTCAAAGGTCAGCCTTGAGTTAATTTGGAAAACTGCTATTGTCTAAACCCTCTCTTGCTCCCAAGTTGCAAAATCTTGTCCAGGTTTCTCTGAATATTGAATGCGTTTGTAACGATAGTCCTAACTTGATCGCTTCTCTGATAGGCCGAATGTGTAACTGAAACTCATCTGATGAGACCAATAGTTAGGCCTGTACATAATCACTAAGACTTAGTCAACAACACATGCGGAAGCCACTCAGGAGCTCAGACAACTGATGTGGGAAAGTCTTGCCCTTTAAGTGAATAAGCGTTGTTGTAAAATGGCGGAACTCGCGAAATTTCGTTGCCGTGTGAGACGGCCATCACGATGCGTGACTCGCCACGCTAGCAACAGATGGCCAGCAGCGGTTGCCCAGCCCCCTGCCTTCTTGGGTCGGTTTCACATGGACATTCGCAAGAAAGAAGTGGTTGTACTATCCACAAATATGTATTTTCACATGCCCCGTATTTCGGGTATTTTAGTCTTCCCTAATTCCCATTCCGACTTCATATTTTATTACTCTCTGCAATCCGTCGGTTACTCGAGGGGCGAACACCCCAAGAAGGTATCGAAGGTTTTCACCGTTAAGTTCGGAGAATATGAACACTGCTCATTCGTATGCCTTTTCTCTTTCGTCAGCCGAATGATCTCTTCCCTGAGGTAGTTCATTGAATCAGAGGACGAGCACCTTGCTCGAAGGGTCTCAAACCAGGAAATTGGAGGCAGATTCTGTCAAGGGCCACGTCTTGCCTGTTCCAACCTGGCCAGTTATGGTCTTAATTTTCCTTGATTTGGATTTACATTGCACTCTCTACATGAGAGTGCAATTTTCTGGGGACGAGGACAGCCTTGGAATATGCTTCCTTTGCGTGTCGGCTGCCGAATCCTTGAGGGTTTCCGACGTCACAGTCACCAAGCAGCTAAGGTTTATGCGAAATGCAAGCAGCTTGACTTTTGCCTCCGTAGGGTTTTTGGATGAGTGCCGCTCGCAGGATTTTAACACTCAAAAGAGAGTGCTCCATGGCCACACCCTTCGCCTTGCTGTCCTCTCGTATAGTTTCAGCGTTGGCCGCATAGGATGAGGTTGCTTTTCATTTTTGAGCGTTTCATTTTCGCTTGAAGAAATCCCGACGTCGGTCATACAGTTACTCCTCGGCCCCTCAAAAATCTACACAATTCTTGCGACAAAATTGTCGATCGTACACGTATCGCCGGATACCTTTTGGAAAATGATCGTCCATGCACACTTTACCTTCTAAATTATAGAATTGAAACGTGTTAAAGGCAGCTCACTCTTCTATTTCTTTGAACTCTTTTCAAGTTTTCTCCTGCGAACCAAGAGTCGGTGTTGTGCAATCGTGTTGGCAAAACGACCAGCTTTCGATGGTCATCTTAGCCCACAGACTTAGTTCTCATCGGGAGACCAATTGCTCAAATGCAATTGCTCTTTCCAAATGCCGTTGTAACTACCGTCCTAAACGACTAGCTCCACGGCTGGACAACCTTCCACCACGTATTCGCATGCGAGACTGATGGGCGGGGAGTGAGTAATTCCCTGAATTGAAAGCATTTCAGTTTTCTGGGCCTTCCTCGTGCCTGCAACTGTGTGGGTTGCATTCAACTTCGTGACAGTTGCCTGAGAGTCATTAAAAGGAGGAGAAAATGTGACGAATATTCTCGGCAGTGTCTTTTCATCCGGAATTCCTCATTCGAGTATGTTGTGGAAGTGAATCACACGCTTCGGACAGTACTACCAGAAGATGGCACTTGGAAGTTTCTTTGGTTTTTGCTAACCCAATAACTGAAAATAAGTAAACGTTTATTTCGAGTATTATGTTTGACTAATTAGTAAGTCCTCGATCATGTGGTCCAATCCATTTGCATGTTTCGAAGTGGTAACATCTATATCTTTTGACTTTCTGACATGGAACGAGGAATGTCATGATATCAACAACTCAGTTCTACTGAGAAACACGAGCGAGCGACCTGGATCAACGGACTAACACATAAATCACGGAAGAAACTTAGAAATTTCAAAACTAATTAAGCACATCAGCGCTTCTCGATCCACTGCAGGATGAAGGCCTCCCCAAGAAGCTTCCACTTTTCCCGGTTGTTCGCTCCCGCTTCGGTCCACGAGTTCGTCGATGCCATCTCGTTGCGGGGGCGTGGTTTACGTTTTTTCACATCCCTTGGCATCCAGTCGAGGATTTCCGTCGCCCATCGTCGGTCTCATATTGCGATGTGGCCAGCCCACTGCCATTTGAGTTCTTTCGTTCTTTCGGCGATGTCTTTCGCCTTTCGTCTGTGCCCTGAACCATTAATTCTTTTTCCTGTCTTCCCTTGTGACTCCCGGCATGTGCCTCTCCATTGCCCGTGGGTTCTTTTTGCCATTTTTTTTGCCGTCAGCGTCCACGTCTCGCGAGTCCAAGGTGTAGTTGTCAACTCGTTGAAGCTTGATGCCATCGACTTCGATTTTTATTGGTCCGACAATTTTGTCAAACATGACTTGAGATTTGGCACGGCTCATCTCGAGGCCTGCGATTTTTCCCGGCTTCTGGGAGTTCCTTCACTCGGTTTTCTAGTTCTTCGGGTGCAGATTCGAAGATAATGATGATAATGAAAATAATGATAATTATGCACATACAATTAGGTATTTCGGGCGCTTTTCATTACTCTCACCGTTCTGCTATACCGTAACTCTGCAGACTTAATAAAAGAAACGGAACAAATTTCAATTTCCTCGATGACTCAAGCGCCCTTTAATTCTGGTCTGCATTGAAGAAAAATATTGAGCATAGTTTTTAGAGAGGCTAATGCTTGAAGTGGATTATCCTTCCGGAAATGGAGATGACAGATACGAGCCATCAAATATCAATATTTGGAAAACTCGAATAAAACAGTGAAAATTCAGGGTCATTTCTTCCTTTAATTTTAAAAGCTATGGAAAAAAATAAATAATTCTTTTTTTTTTTAAATAGACTCTGCCACAAAAATATTAAATAAATATACTTGTATGGATTTTAACTTTTTTTCTATGGCTTTGTGTGAAATGAATAAATTAAAATGACACAATGTGTTAGTGTCACCACCACCAATTGCCGAGAAGATTGTCCCCACCTCGTATTTCCGGGTGAAATAAAGTTATTGCCCGCTTAATGGGAAACGTGGTGAACTCGAAGTTCTGGCATGACGCCGCAAAAAAATACTGGGTGAATGTATGGGGATGGACGAGAGAGCGGCAATGGGCCACGCAAGCCGAGGCATATTTACATATTTAAATGTCAATTATTTTTAAAAGTGATTTTATTTCATTTCTTTCGTTTGCGGCTTTGGAGTCAGAATGGTAGCATCTAAAGAAAAACACCGTTCCTTGTCCCAAACCGCGCACAAGGTGATTAAGAAAAAAGAAGCATATTTATAGTAAACTTTGAGCAAAGCCATTCGACAGTTGTTGAAAAGCCATCTGACAGTTGCTGAGGGTCTCGGCGAGGCTCCCAAGCTCCATCGCGCCCGAGCGACCGCGAATAACACATCATCCTCGGGGTGCGCATGAACTCCTCCCAGAAATGGACGCTGTCGGCTAATGGGAAATGAAAGTAGAAATCCCCTGTAATGGTGTTTCCAAGAGGACGAAAAAATAAAATTAGTTTTGCACATTCTTCTCTCCGTCTGCAGCAATCCTTCTCCCCCCAATTTTCCCTCGGGTGCGGTGCGTCCTTTTCGCGTTGGAACGTAGGTATGCTACCACGTGAATTTCTGCCTCACGTAAATAATGCAACGAGCTGATTCTCTGATGATGATGATCATTCGACATTGGCACAATCACTTGCATTATTTTGAGAAGTTGGCGACAGGTGTCGCGCCGGAATGACTCCCCGCAAATACATGCGCATTCTATTACAAAATGGTAAATCAGGGAAATATAATAATAATGACAATATATAGTGTGGCCTGCACGACTCTCACACGCTCATTTCATTGATTTGCCTTCCGCGTATCAGAAGTTCGGAATAAAATAGTGGAATTAAATTAGCAACAGGTATCCTGACCTGTTCTAATGGTCTCTGGACGTGATACATGCATATTGGTATCGTCGGCAAATTTACTCATCTTACCCTCTACGCCGAGATCCAAATCGTTTATGTAGACCAAAAACAGAAGCGGTCCAAAGACCTCACCTTGATGGATACCGCTTGCGACTCCGACCTCCTTCGATGCTTCCCCATTTATCATCACCCGTTGCTCTCGTCCTGCCAACCAGCTACCGATCCACACGCTCGTCCTACCCTGGATCCCGTGCGCCTCCAGTTTAACCCTTTCAGGACCAAGGGACCTATTTATCCTATATTTTCAAAATCCTCCCAAATTTGAATGAATTAGTCTAGGGCGATGCTTTTGCGAATAAGGAATCAGTATGTCATGGACTTTCAGAATTATGGCAGGTTTTGTGAATATATGAATTTGTGTCGTCACCAGACAAAGCAAAATTATATTTTCCAAACGAGTCCGGAAATGTGAATTTTGATTTTTTGTTTTGAAAAACCGATGCAGCCGAAAAAATTGTCTGTGGGTTTGCCTTCGTATGTCCTTACTGTAACATANCTGGAGAGATTACAGGCCGCCCTGCTCATCAAGCGCCCAGGACAAGACAAAATTATACTTAAGACCAGCGAGAGATTGGAGGAGCTGGGATGGGACTGCCTCATGCAGCATGTTCACCGGACTAGGCTCCTTCCGAATA